TCAAAAACGGTCCGTGCAGTCCGGACAAGCCGGGTAATCCGGACCGACCAGTAGATAAACAAGGCTACAGCGAGGCTACAGTAAAGCAGTTTTTTTGCTGCGGAGTTACAGCTGGAGTTACAGCCGGAGTTACAGCCGGAGTTACAGCCGGAGTTACAGCCGGGTTACCACGAGGCGAGGCTACAACAGGGGACTTTTTTTTTTCCTAGCCGTTGTATGAGCCCGAGCTGCCCGAGCTCGCTTAGCTAGCCGCCACGCCGCTCAACATCCGGTCCCGCCCCCATCAGACACTTACACACCTTCACTGCCACCTTCACTGAGCCGCTTCATGCTATATTCGGGGTACATGAGGATAACACCTGGCTGAGAATTTATTGAATGATTTATTAATCTAATTAAAGAGATTTAACCCCGGAAGTGGGAAATCCCGGAGTGGGATTCAGGAGCCGGTAATACTGATCTGGGTGTGGGCGGAGCATCACAACAGGGTTAGCCCTGCCCACTTTGCTGTTTAGTTATTAATTCTGATTTAATGTGTGTGAATGTATTGTGTGTGTTGTCAGAGTGTGATGAGAGTTATAGTTTATTGCATCTGAAATGTCAGCTACAGGCAGCCTCTGGTACTGGGAGCTGTTGTGGACTTCAACTCCCATCATGTGTGAATGTGTGTCATAATGTGTGTTAGTGTGTGTGTCACCTTGTCAGTGTGTGTGTCAGTGTGTGTCATTATGTGTACTGGGTGATTATTATTGTATATTAGCTGGCTGAGTGTGATGGGAGTTATAATGAGTAAAGTAATATTCCAGCCATTGTCCTCAGGTTTAGGTTGGGCTCTTTGTATGATATTGAAAAATAGAAACAGCATATTTTACTTGATGGGCTTTACTAAATGGTGTTTGTAATATTAATAATGGTTATTACCAATATTATTTCAAATAATAAAATAAATATCTGTACAGGAATATTTGTATCTGGTTAATGAATAATGGTTGGAAAAGAAAATGACAAGAAAAGGAAAACAATGGAAAATGTTAATTATATTGAGGTATTTTTTTCCATATTGCTATTGGTGTGAATAGTAATGTGTTGCATGTCTCAGAGAAAATGATTATGTTAATCAAATTGTATTTATTGATTCATTTATTTATTTCAAGCAAAGGGTCCAAAAATACCTGCACTACATGTAATACATTAATGTAATAAACTGACTGATAGTCTATGGACAGGATTAGTTATAATCAATCATTAAATATACAAGGTCTATCCCTTCCATTTCTACACACGCTATGTATTATGTAAACCTGGTCCCCGATGGCTGGGAAATAAATACATGTAGAGGCTGTTTGGCTAGAGCTATTATAGGGAACAATCTGAATGAAACCTCTCTCCACTATATGTTTAAATGTAACGTTTGACCTTTGATTAAGATTCAGTAGGTGCAGGGACCTCGAGTGGACACTCTTATGAACTGCACATCTTTTAATTCACATGGAGACTTTGTGATACATAATAGAAATGATGAATGATGTGACAGGGATGCGATTTGTAGTTAAGACCTCTATTGACCAGTTAGGGGTACTGCAGGAAGGGTACTATATTTATTGACATTTTTATTAAATGTATTATTGGTCAGTGTGAAGTGGTGTCCAGTTGGCGTGCAGTAATGGTTTCTTCATAGCGTGTTACAGAGTTACAGAGTATCTCTGTGTGTTCAATCTTTCATTTAATTATTCGATGATTTCCTCAATGTGACATCGAGGGTCTCTCAATCATGTGAAGGACATTTCTAGATGTACCGGAGAATGTTCCTTTTATGGTATATGTTTTATTGTTGTGAGTGACTTTGTTATTTGTGTAGATTTGCTGACACAGTTTGCAGTGTGGTTTATTGAGGTGTGCAGACACATTCGGTGTGGTTTATTGTGGGGTGCAGACCCATTCAGTGTGGTTTATTGGGGGGTGCAGACCCATTCAGTGTGGTTTATTTTGGGGTGTAGACACATTCAGTGTGGTTTATTGCGGGATGCAGACCCATTCAGTGTGGTTTATTGTGGGGTGCAGACCCATTCAGTGCGGTTTATTGTGGGGTGCAGACCCATTCAGTGCGGTTTATTGCGGGGTGCAGACCCATTCAGTGCGGTTTATTGTGGGGTGCAGACCCATTCAGTGTGGTTTATTGCGGGGTGCAGACCCATTCAGTGTGGTTTATTGTGGGGTGCAGACCCATTCAGTGTGGTTTATTGTGGGGTGCAGACCCATTCAGTGCGGTTTATTGCGGGGTGCAGACCCATTCAGTGTGGTTTATTGTGGGGTGCAGACCCATTCAGTGTGGTTTATTGTGGGGTGCAGACCCATTCAGTGTGGTTTATTGCGGGGTGCAGACCCATTCAGTGTGGTTTATTGTGGGGTGCAGACCCATTCAGTGTGGTTTATTGTGGGGTGCAGACCCATTCAGTGTGGTTTATTGTGGGGTGCAGACCCATTCAGTGTGGTTTATTGCGGGGTGCAGACCCATTCAGTGTGGTTTATTGTGGGGTGCAGACCCATTCAGTGTGGTTTATTGTGGGGTACAGACCCATTCAGTGTGGTTTATTGTGGGGTGCAGACCCATTCAGTGTGGTTTATTGAGGGGTGCAGACCCATTCAGTGTGGTTTATTGAGGGCTGCAGACCCATTCAGTGTGGTTTATTGTGGGGTGCAGACCCATTCAGTGTGGTTTATTGTGGGGTGCAGACCCATTCAGTGTGGTTTATTGCGGGGTGCAGACCCATTCAGTGTGGTTTATTGTGGGGTGCAGACCCATTCAGTGTGGTTTATTGTGGGGTACAGACCCATTCAGTGTGGTTTATTGTGGGGTACAGACCCATTCAGTGCGGTTTATTGCGGGGTGCAGACCCATTCAGTGTGGTTTATTGTGGGGTGCAGACCCATTCAGTGTGGTTTATTGTGGGATCCAGACCCATTCAGTGTGGTTTATTGTGGGGTGCAGACCCATTCAGTGTGGTTTATTGCGGGGTGCAGACCCATTCAGTGTGGTTTATTGTGGGGTGCAGACCCATTCAGTGCGGTATATTGCGGGGTGCAGACCCATTCTCTGTGTTAAACCTCTCTGTTAATAGTTTCCTACTGACCAGTGTTGTTGCAGATTAGGTGGTTGTCTAAATGTAGGAGGTTCAGAGAAGATGACTTTCAGTATCTGACCCTCAGAATGTAGCTCCTAATAATTGTATGTATGGCTTCGAGGGTGGGGTTACATGTTAGGACTAGTGATACGCGTGTGAAGTGTCTTTCTCTTCGTATTGTAGTCAATGTGTACGTGGTATTTGCAGAGCAGAGTGTATTTTCCTATTGATGGTCTTCCTTGACGTCTATCCTTTCTGTATGGATGATTGAGACAGTGTTTAGATGTTTGGTTCAGTCCTCAATGTCAGTGAGGATGTGATGGGAGCAGGGCCGGCGCTACCTGTTAGGCGGACTAGGCAGCCGTCTAGGGTGCCCCTTGGGAAGGGGCGACGCCAGGAGCGCCAGCCCCCCTCATGCTGCAGCCGCCCGAGCTCTCTGTAGAGAGCCTCAGGCGGCTGCAGCTTTGCCCGGGCTGGTGCGTCCATGAGGGCACACCGCCCTGGCGCAGCATGAGGAGAGGGGCTGACAGGAGGGAAGGGCACAGTGCTCCCTCCTGTCACTCCCTCACTGTAGCGTGGCCGAGCTCTGTATGGTCCGCGGGTACAGGGAGCATCTGTCTCCTGTACCTGGCCGGACTAACACTCAGGGTGCACCTCCTGTTAGTCCGGCCGGGTACAGGAAACAAAAGCTCCCTGTACCCGCGGACCATACAGAGCTCGGCAACGCTACAACAGTGGTGGTGGTGGGGGGGGGAGGAGAAAGAAATTGGGAGGGGAGAAAGAGAGTGACAAGGAGGGAGGAGAAAGAGAGTGACAAGGAGGGGGGGAGAAAGAGAGTGACAAGGGGGAAAAAGATCTGTCATTTTAATTATCATGACTCTCAGGCTGACATCCAATCGTCGCTCACCACTTTCCATCCATTGATAAAGCTTAAATGGACTTCTCTGCACAATATGTGATCTTTCTGGACACTACCATGAACTTCTCAAACAGCACTTTAACCCCTTAAGGACCAAACTTCTGGAATAAAAGGGAATCATGACATGTCACACATGTCAAGTGTCCGTAAGGCAGCCTGTGGCTGCTCACTGTAAATAAACAAAAAAAAAACTATTGGCCCCCACCCATAAATGACGGATGGGGGCCCTAAAGTAAAATAAGGGGGTAGACCTAATGTCGTCCCCCCGGCCCCCACCCCTGCGCGGTGGGTGGGGGTCATAATTTCAAGCCATCCAATCACAGTGCTCTGTGTCATTTTACACAGCGTGGGAAAGTTCTTTGGGTGGGGGACGGGGGGGGGCAGTAGGTCACCCCCCCATTATCATTATGACACCCACCCACCGCGTAGGGGTGGGGGCCGGGGGGGGGAGACATTAGGTCTCCCCCCTTATTTTACTTTAGGGCCCCCACCCCACCCACTGTTTAATAGACATGCCCCTAGTCGCGGTAATATTTTACTAATACTAAGTAATCTAGGTCTTTCAGCCTTTTAGTAGATAGCTCCCTGATACCGTGGGAATTAGGGAGTTATCTACTAAGCGGCTGCAAGATGCAGCCACAGCAATGAATAGGATCGGAGTTTCATTCATTCGAATGAAATTGCGATCCGAATAAAATGCCGAATTGCGTTCTAAAAGAAACGAACATACTGTTCTCATTCAGTTAGAACGCAATTCGGCAGTTTTGTGTAAAGTGACAGGAAGCATTGTGGGAACACAGAGGAAAGGTAAGGATCATGGGAAAATTGCTCTGACCAGCGGAAATGAAGCACACTTTGCTCCTCCGCTGGCCAGAGCTGGTCAAGCGGAGGAATCCTCCATAAGGCAAAGAGTCCCTTCTTTGTCTTATGATTTTAAGGAAAACTAAAGAAGACAGGAAGAAAAGAATAACAGATCCTGAGAGAGGGGGAGAAGAGGAAGAGATTGAGGAAAGGTAAGTTCGGCATGACAGTGCCGCTTTAATAAGAGTTAACACATCTAAGCCTGACTTACTCTTTCACAACTTCAGCACACATTTCACCTTTCCCCCCCTGGCAACATCTGACAGGACACATTTTCAAAATAACCTTTCCTTTTACAATCCAAAAAAACAGTCCAGACATCCAGAAATGAATCTGTAGAAATATTCTTCTTTTGATTATACTTTAAGATGATGGATAAACAGCAAAATGGCTGACGGCATGTCAGTAGCAGGTTACATATGTTCACATGCCCAAGATGTTATTTACCTTGCTAGGATATACCCACATATCACTGGCTGGTTGTTTGGTTCAGATGTTCTCAGTTTATGTGACAGTCACACTTAAGTCTGTTACTCTTCTTTTAATGGCTTTAGACAGATACATAGCAATCTGCAAGCCACTGCTCTACCATAAAATTGCAAACAAGTATTTTTTCATTCAGCTTCTGGTGTTAGGCCTACTTCGAAACAGTTTTATTGCGGCTGTTGTAGTTACTCTGGCCTCCAAAGTCAAGTATTGTAAGTCTAACATTATCTTGAACTTTGTTTGTGAATATATTGTCCTTCTCAGTCTCGGCTGTGGTGATGTGACCAAGCTTCAAATTGTTGGACTAACATTGAGGACTGTCGTCACCGTATCTGATCTCGGCATCCTCCTGGTATCTTACATCAAGGTCCTGCACACAGCCATGAAGATTGCTGCAGGAAACGCTCGCCAGAAAGCATTGCACACTTGTTTCACACACCTTCTAGTCGCAGTATTAATCTATACATTTGGTTTATCTACTTCTATTATGTATAAGGTGGAAAAGTTTATATCACATGATGCTCAGAATTTATACAGCGTAGTCTACTTTCTGCTGCCAGACACAGTCAACCCTATTATCTATGGTCTACGAGTGAAGGAAATTAAAAACTTGGTAAAGAAAAGGTGGAATATTAATTTCATAAACCTAGTGCACTAGTTACATAGTTGTGTTAAGGGCTCATGATAGTACAGAAGATACAAACATTGATAAGTATGGGATAGTGTGAAAGAGCAAGTCGGTTGTGGTGTGCCGGAACCGACGATGAGGTAGGCCTGTAAATAAAGAGGGCCCACCAATAAGAAATGTATGAGAAAAGGAGTTAATAAAAGAGGAGTGGGTGGGAGGGTGATGCAGCGCTGACCTCGAACGGTATGGAGCCAGGTAAGGGGTGTCCCTTAAGTAGGGAGAAGGTGAGTCATACGCCCCTCCCACAATTACAGGCCAAAAGGCCTTAATACTTGTGTTAAGGGCTCATGATAGTACAGAAGATACAAACATTGATAAGTATGGGATAGTGTGAAAGAGCAAGTCGGTTGTGGTGTGCCGGAACCGACGATGAGGTAGGCCTGTAAATAAAGAGGGCAAAAGTAGAAAATATACTTTATTACGAAACGAGCAGTATACATACTTCAACCAGACATATCTTGAAAGGCATTTCTAACTTCTTGTACTGGGTTAGGTATGTATCTAGAGTATGCAGAAGACTTCCAGCGCCCTAGTGATTTGATAACATGTACTGGAATGTTTGCACTGGACGCTGTGGAGGCCGCCCCTATGCGGAAGGAGTGGCCCGAATAGTTAGCTGATTTTAGGCCTAGTTGTGTAAGTAGGGACCTGACGTGGGTCATGAAGGTGGTGGTAGTGAGTACCGAACCTTGTAGACAGAAAAGTGGTTGAGATGGTGATGCTTTGAAATGCTGAGTATAGGTGTCCAGTAATGTGACGGGGCACCACACGTTGTGGGTAGGATAGTATCTAACCTCTACCGGGGGTGCGTGTTGATTGGTTTTGGAGTGATGCAGAGCTAAAATATAGTAATCCATGTGTTTCGTTAAGTGTGAATGAAGCAGAATGTGAGTGGACTGGGATGTGTTGATGGCGGTAAATTCTCTTGGTCTCAAGAAACCATAAAAAGCTACGTATATGGCGGTTTTTATAACAAGGTTTGTGTTGTTCGCAAAGGGTTTTGAATCTAGTAGGCTGGATAAATCCTTGAAGATATTGAAGTCTATAGGTAGCCTTTGCGCGGTACGTGGGGGTTCGGATCTCTGGATACCTCTAAGGATGTTTTTGATCTGGTAGGAGGACATGAAACTTGTGTTGTTTGGTTGTAATGTTAGCATGTGATGTTGTATGCCTGTCAGATATAGCTTGATTGTGTTGTGAGATAATTTAAGTTTGAGGTGGCAAAAAGAAGCAAAACCTAACAAAGATGTCATGATGAAAGGTTGTGTGACGTTGTGCAGTGACAGGAATCTTTTAAATAGAAGGAAAGCCCTGTCATATGTTCTCCGGGTATTGGTGGACAGTGCTAATTGTGCCAATGTCCTGCTATGTTGCATAATAGCTTCTAGTCCATGACTAGCTGGTGGAAAGGTGGAGTGGTCGTGGCTGTACGTGCGGCTGACGGAAGTATTTGCCGAAAAGCCTGAAAATTGAAACGAGACAAATTGTCAGCAGCCGTGTTACAAACACCTGGGACATGGACACATAACAAGAAGAAATTGTGGCATGCAGCTAGCCAGGTGAGTTTCCTCAAGAACCTCATAATGGTCAGTGACTTGGATCGGCCTTTGTTTATGATGTGGCAGGTAGCTTGGTTGTCTGAGTGGCAACGTACTGACGAACCTGCCCATAGATGCCCCCATGTAACGGCAGCTGCTACTATGGGATACATCTCAAATAGAGCTGAGGTAGTGGAAAACCCTTCCAGGTCCTGTACCTCTGGAGGCCAGCTACCCCAAAGCCATTCATTCCCGTAAATTGCTGCAAAACCTGTGGTAGACGCCGCGTCTGACCAGATGGTAGGTGAGGAGTCAGACAATTCAGGGAGAAACATGCTTTTCCCATTCCAGGTGGTCAAAAAGTTTCTCCACATAAGTAGGTCTGCCGTGGCTTGGGTATCCAGTGGTAACCTGTGTGCATCATGTCTAAACAGTGGGAACATGGTTAGGAGCCGTGAGATGAAAGCCCGGCCTTGAGGTATTATGCGCATGGCAAAGTTCAGTGACCCAAGTAGAGACTGTAATTCTTTGCGATTGCAAGTACCGAGGTGTATGTAGAGGTTAATGTTGGTGAGAATGTTCTCTATCTTGGTGCGTGGCAGGCTGGCTTGCATGGTGGCTGAGTCTAGCATGATTCCCAGAAAGGTGATGACTGTATCTGGTCCTTCAGTTTTGGTGGGGGAGACTGGAACACCCACCTGTTTAAAAAGACTGATGGTTCTATGAGGCTACTGGGAGGGGAAGTGTTCTCTTCGATCAGTAAGAAATCATCCAGGTAGTGTATAACTGTAGGGCATCTGGCTACATTTAATAATAACCAGCATAATGTTTCGGCGAATACGTCGAAAATGGCCGGACTACTTTTTGAACCAAACGTTAGGCGTGAGAAAAAGTAGTAGTGCCCGGCCCACTTAATGCCATGCAGGTGCCATAGTGTAGGGTGGATAGGCAATAATTTGAAGGCATTTGTAATGTCAGTCTTGCTGAGCCATGCTCCGACCCCTGCCTGCATGATAGCTGTAATGGCGTGATCTATGGTGGAGTATTGAAGTGAAAATTCCTCAGAGGGGATAAGGGAGTTCAGACTAGGTGAGGCAGAGGTGTGAGGTGCAGACAGATCGATGATAAGTCTTTGTTTGTGGGAAGATTTCCCTGTGACAATACCGATGGGGTTTGTCCGCCATGTGGAAAAAGGAGGGGACTGAAAGGGTCCCAATAGGAAGCCCTCTGCCACTTCTTTGGCTATGAGTGTGCTAACCGCTGTAGGGTTTTGTTGTGCAGATTGTAAATTAGGACATTCAAGGATTCCTGAAGGCATGTGTATGAGACCAGTATGGAATCCTTGTGATAGACCAGTGATGATGAAGTCTACCAAATGTCTGGATGGATGTCGTGACAGTAATGCCGTGAGTACAGAAATATTTATCTCGGTTAAGTATTGCTTAGGGTACATTTTATTTGGACACATGGTTTTCGCATGTGCCCTAAAACATTTTGAACATATATGCAATAACCGACAACCGCTGTAATTACATGCACCGACATTGAAATTATTACATATTTGGGACTTCCCCAAAAACTTGATAGGTCGACCCAGTTTGTCTTTGGGTGTTCTCTCTGCTGACACAGCGGAGCTAGTGCCCTGCGAGGTGGTAGGTTCGTTCGCAGTGGTCGGACAAAAATTGGCAGTATGAGCCATGGAGGAGCAGTGTGCACAGGCCGGTGCTCTTAGACCTGCAAAGTGCCTGCAAAAATGATCGTATCAATCTTACTCCAGTTGGACCTTGTCCCGTACTGTGAGAAGGCGCCAGACACTTTGGCAGAAAAGGATCTATGGTAGTCATAGAAAGCTGACCCACCATATTTGTTGCCCAGATCAACCAGCCTGTGCATATATAAGTCAAACTCCTCACGTCTGTGGGGATATACCGTACAGACCACATCCCGATAAATGCCAAAAGCTAATACAAATTCTGGAATGGTTAGCTTCCTATTTAATCGTGCATCCCTGGATTTGACCACCACAGAAATATCGTCATAAGCGTAGGTCTTATGTTCCACTATATCCTGGGAGGCAATTAGTAGTGAGGCCAGATTGACATCTTTACCTTCCAGGATATCTCTCCTGAGGTGCTCAGGAATCATGTGGGCAGGGTAAACTTCTTGGTCATCCGAGGTGATAGCTGGAGAAACTGATTGCGACTCCACCACTGATGGGGGAATTGCCGTGGCCGGTCCAGCCATAGTGAGGGCTGTAGTGACCGATTCAAGTTTCTCCAGCCTAGAATTGACCTTGCTCATGGATGTCATGAGGGACGTGAGCATGTCATGTATGTTCCCTGGGTGGGACTGGCTCGACCCTTCCCCAGCGTCCGTGTTATCGGTTGAGGTGTGTAATAATCTGTAAAGTTCCGCTTTCCTTGCTGTTGCTGGAAAAGGGATTTGTCGTCTCCTGAGTTCGCTAGTGATACGAGGGATAGTCCATGATCTGAAAGATGCTGGACTAGCCGTATCTTCCTCCTGTGATGGGGTGTTGGTTCTAGCCGGAGTCCTTGGGATGGAGAAATCCTCTACCCCTTCTTGCGACATACTAGATTACAAAGTATATGGTTAGCGTAAAAAACCCCCGAGGGGATGTACTGGCAGGCTAATTATGCCGGATGAGGCGAAAAATTAAAACTTGTTCTTTGGTGACAGGTGAGGCCCTGCTAGTTGCCAAGTGGCTATGAGAGGCTCTATCTATGCGTTGGCGCGAGGGGTTATTGAGGCCACCCGACGTAGTGGCAGGAATTCGTAGGCCTCTCGGTGACAATACAAGAAAACAGGGGAAGGGAGTGACAGGTGGCACCCTCTCTATAATGCGAGGCGGCTAACTCACGTGTGGCCCGGGGGGCATTACCTCCGAAACGTTGAGGCGGGGTGTTGGCCTCGCGGACCACTAAACGATAGGCAGAATGCCTGGAGGGGGGATACCTATTTGGGCCTATAACCCCTAAAATTGCCAGTACTCTATGTCCTAAGTAGAGGAGGAACCATATGTGATGTATGGCGTGAGCAGGCTTAACGTACCTGGTAGTATGTATGCGTTTGATAAGCGATAGGTAGAGAAAACTGGAAAAACCTAAAGGGATAGAAAAACCAAATATGATAGTGTGAGAATTGGATCCTATGATACCAATTTAGACTAGTTAGTTGTGGTGAGTTCTAGTAGTACATATGGAAGGGAATATATGAATGATATTGGCCCGACTGGCCCTGTCTGTGGTATGGTAATCATGCTTGGGGGTG